ATAACTCTAAACCTATCAGGGATTTGGTCGTACAAGTTCTTTTACAATTCATGGTGCGCATGGAAATTTTTTAAATAACGATCACTTTATATTAGTTTAACTTGAATACTAACAATATTGCACACAGTTTGGGATAGTTATCAAAAGAGGTTTAGCTGTTGTCTGGTACAAAAACGCTTTCTCTACTATGTTCATCAAGTAATTGGTTTGAGCCCAGAAGTAACATACATGCTATCAGATACATGTTCAGATTGTCGACTAGAGAGTATTCTGAACTGCATTGTTGTCATTAACATCGAGTGACGATTTAAAACCGGAGGCAAAGTCATCAACAGAGAAAAGGACCCATTCAGCCTTCCGCTCACGTTATCTAAAAGTCAGTCACCCTTAACAACGACAATTATATTCTAAAGAATAATTCAGTGTTAAAAAATTTTCAATGGGGTGAAAGCATGTTCACTACGAGCAACCGTTTAATCTGATCATAAATTTTTGTGGCGTTTTTCGATTCGTTTCTATCTATTCATCCAGTCCCACAACTGTGTGGCCTGTGGAATGGAAGTTCCATTCGTAAAAGATAATTTACCGTCCAGATAGTCTATTCACAAACGCAAACTTTGATCGCAAAAAATTGAAGAAGAAGTAAATCCATTATTCATAGTTTCGTTACCATATCGCAGAAATGGCACGCTTAGCTTCTTATCAATTAAATTAATGAGACTACGCGTTACTGAACTGTGCGCAGTCCCTGCTGTTCTCAGAGTTTCGCGCAGCGCGCTAACATCGATTTTTTTTCATTGTTTTTATTCTTTTACGCGTGCGAAGCACGTCTCCGAAAAGGAGGAAATGCTCGTAATCTAAAGCACAGTATAAAAAAAAACTCTTGCATTAAATAATGGTTACTTTCGAGAGAATAACGGAAGAAATACAGGTTGCATTGGTTTTTCTCAATTTTGCTCAACTTTTCAACCAGCCGAATGCAAAGTTGAAACGAATTACGGCGTGGCCTTTTGTCTTTTCCCGCTCTTCAGACAGTTTGCTTCTTTTTCACGCTAATACTGTTTTATAACTGGTTTGATATTATTAGGCTCCAAGTTTTGACGTCCTTGTTTCATTTGTTCTATGTCACTTGTCCTTCAAAATCTCCATAATGATTGCAAAGGACAAGACTAACCCCTCTTGTGGAGGAGTAAGGGAAAGTTGCTTCAAGCATCAGTTTTGTTACCGCAAGACATAATGTGTAGAACAGATTTTTATAAATCTTTATATCTTTTTGTAGATTTTAAATTGCATCATTATTCGTGATTTGGAATGTTAAGACTTAACTCTGTTGAGTCTGTTTTTTTTTTTCATTAAAGATTTCATCATCATTAATAACAGAGATTTTGCTGAGCTGGACTAGAAAGCCTTTCCAAGTCTCATTTTGAAATTCGCGCTCAGTTACACAGACTGATGTGAAAATGTAAACAATGTGACAAGGCTTAGAGTGTGCGATTTGCGCATGACGAGTTCTTGTTCACTTACTTTGAGCGAATTGGAGATATGGAAGTTTTTAATCAATACTTCTGCCGAAACACATCATACTTACGTGCGTAAACTAAAACAGCCCTTTCAGATAAAACAAAAGATCCTAGATGTCCAATCAAAACTTTGAAGCGCATTGAATTGACTTCATTTGAAAGTCTCTCTAGTAATAAGCTCAACTTGTTATCCGTCAAGTTATTTCTTCGCTGCAATTGTGGTATAAACTACTGCTTAGCTTACACTGAAGACAAACTTTGTCAAAAATTGTGTTCATCGAGGTGTTGTCGCCTGACTTGACAACTGCATGCTGGGTGTATATAGAGATAATCGACTTGAAAGTCCCTGAAGACCGCCAAAGATAGCGCCATTGACTCGGATTGACTTCAAACCACGGAGTTTCTCATCGATCTATTCCTCAGTTGGGCTAAATAATTAGCATGCGAGCGACCAAGGCAAAAAAAGCTTAAATTAAAAGATCCACATTTTAATGAGGAAACGTTTTAAGTTTGTCGTAAGATTATCTGATGATATACCCTTGTGGTATGAAATTCAGTATTGCGCCTGCTATTTACTATATTGGATCTCGATACATTAGAAGGAAGTGGGCAGCGGAAAGTGGAAGCCGGAAACTACGATTCTAATTGCGAGAGTTGTTTATGTAGCGCTTCATGGAAGAGCAATCAAAACTCAATGCAGTCGGGTGAATGAAGAACACTATACAAAGGCTTTTTAATCAGCAGCCATTCTAGGGCAGTACCAATGAACAAAACTTAACACCGATATCACGGCCCCTCATAGATGGTTTTTTTTCTGCGTATATCGTATGTCAAAGTACAATTGCTGATCTGAATAACGGCACAAAACAGAAACTTAAAATGGACAGAAATATGTCTCATCACCAATCATCTTTCTCCGGACCGAGAAACCGTCCACAGAGAAGGGTCAGTGTTTCAACATTGTCTGAAGGTAAATCAAAAACAGATTCTTTTTGGGGGGTATCTGGCCAATGCAAACTCCAATTTGAGAAGCGGGCTGATAGCTGCAAATTACCAAGCGTCGCCGCACCTCGAAAAGGAATAGTCGCTCTTCCTCTTAATCACGCGAGTGATGAAACAACGCGAAACTGCGAGGATACCAAACACCCGATGTTAGATGTTACTGACCCACCAAAATTATTACGTAGACAAGAAAGTCTTCTCAATGCTAACCCTGGCCATGAAGCTAAACTGCCTTTAAACTCTGATCCGTTTGCTTGGAATGTTATGGGTGAGGAGATATCGCGGAACTGTGCGAATAACAAACACTTGAATTTAGATAACACTGGTCCAACAGAAGTACTTCGTACACGACATAGTCTCCCTAACATCCCCAGACTCAACGCAAAAATTTTCGGAAGGTTCGAAAATCACCAGCACCAGGAATATGGAGAACACGCATCTATTGCAAAGTGGCGCACGAACTCGAAAGCGCTTCAAAAGTTTGTAGAAAATGCAGAGAGAAGTTATGACAGAAACAAAGAAAAGGCTATTCTTCTGCACAACTGGATGCTCCAACAGGGGTCATCAAAAGAATGAAAGCTTGACATAGAAAACTATTTTTCTTCTTCCAACTTTCTCTCTACAAAATTCCTAATTATACTGTTACTTCATACCCTATTTCATCAGCAAATTAATTTGAAGGAATGTTCTAGTAAAAGATAGTTAGCATTCTGGTGAGTTGTTTCAGTCCTTGTTGAGCAAACTTGGTTATATTGCACCTGTCTGAGTCATATTCTACCCAAGCACACAGAATAAGGGAAGGGAAAAAGAGTTTTATTTCCCTGTATTCAGAACGATATTAAAATCTTTGAAATTGCACTTATATACTGAGCCTACAATCAACTGTAACATATGCCTCTTTTGCATTCTACGACAAACAAAGTCCTTATTATGTTAAATACCGTACATTTGTTTAACCACAAACACTTGCCATATTTCTTTAACGTAATCAATGAGTTGAGACAAAAAAGCAGTTGACTTTCTTTTGGTTGCGAGTGAAATAAGTTCAGTTCACCATAACGCCGCTGGGCTGTCCAAGTGCTGGTATCATTTGGCGATTAGATTTCATCTTACATCATGTTAAATTGATCTTGAGCTGGCTCGCAATCTAATCAATTATTGTCAGCGAGAATTTGGCCTTGTTTACGTAACCGTCTAAAAACCTACTGCTTACTGGAAGATACCTTTTGCACAGCTTGCAGTTGATCTTGTGATTATCTTTATTGACACTCACGCATAATTTCTTAGCTTACCCACGCGAAGTTTACCGTGCTAATCAGCTGAAACCCCCATCTATCATTTGTTTGAAACTTCTCACTGCCCTTCTCGCTTTGTCAATTCTATTTTAAAACTGATATTTAAGACAATGTGAGACTAACGGCGTCAAAATTCCGGCGGCTTGTTTTCGCAAAACAACCTTACAGTAGAAACAATTGAACAAATTCGCTTTTCGACGTAATAAATCACGTTTAGAAGACATATTCGTCGGTACTCTTACTTTTCAAGTGTAATCTTAGAAGCATATATAAATCATCGAATTAAAAATATCATCCATACGTGCAATTATGCAAGCCCAGCGTCTTAAACCAAAAGAACTTTTAAAGCACTCAAAGATGTATACTCTGCTGGAAATGACATTTGTCAACAACTGAATGACGATACAAGGGACATTTTTAAAACACGGGACAGATATAGGTCCGCATGTTCTCTCATTCGTGAACATGCACTTTAAACCCACTTCAAAATCATCAGTCCCTCTGAAAACATCCACATTGATATTTACTCGACAAAACAAGGTCAAGGTGCTTCGAGAAATGTGGTGTTAGCTAGCCTATTTGCAAAAGTCTGCCGCCATAATTGATCGACGTGAATGAAATGATTCAGTGACAGAGGTAAACCGCGGCGTAAAAATGACCAGTTGAATAATCCTTTCCCGCGGGGTCAACTGTTGACCATAGTTTCTGAATAAAAGGGTAATTTAGCATTTTCAACTGAGTTGATAACGTAAATTGGGCACCGTAAAGAGTTTAAAACTTTTAAACTCTTTACGGTGCCCAATTTACGTTATCAACTCAGTTCAGATTATACTAAATTACCCTGTTATACTCTCCAACCGACGCAGCACTTTAGAAACTTACCCCCTTTATTCATAGTTTTCAAAAACGACTGCAAAAGCATGCTTTACTACAGAAGCCTATAGATGATATTTTTGAAGTGCTCATTTTCATGTTCATTTATTCATTCATTATTGCATTTATTTCTTTTTTTCCCTTTTTGCCGACTGATCATGAGGTATACTGTAGTTTCTTCTCATGCTCTTTGTCAGCCTAACCGTGAGTGTAAATCCGTTTTTCGTAAGTTATAAAGTCATTACAATGCAACCTCAGCGGATCGAGGCCAAGCTCTTTAATCTCAGTACAAAGTACAAAAGTACAAAGTTTAATTCAAATGAGTTGAGTTTTTGAGGGCACTATCTAAACAGAGCTTAGCTCCAGACAACAAAAAATAAGGTCTTCGGGATATTTCAATATCGTTTCGTTTTGTGCAAGTCTTAACTTTGTCAGCGAGTTGTGCTAATTCGGTTCTCAATGGTACGTTAGTTCCTCGAATGCAAAGAACCTTCAAATACTTGCAAGCTGCCACGAGCTCAACAAGAGCATTTTCGACGCGATACCTGTTTATGGCGTAGAAATCATACAGGGCCAGAGTTTCAATGCGCGGACAAAATTTTTTGATATTGGTGAACACAGTTTCAGTTTTGATTGTGGCTTGCTTTGTGATGTAAAAATGTTTTAAGTTCCTTAAATTTTTCAACAACGATCTAAGCTCTTCGCAGGAAGTGATTGCGCTTCCAACACAAAGACTTCTTAAACGAGGACACCTTTCGGCGAACTTGCACAATGTCTTGCCAGTGATGTTGAAGCTGCTGTGAATATCGAGGATTTCGAGTTGTTGGTAGTTCATTTGTGACATGGCGCTTATAACATTGTCGCTGAAAGCTCTACCCCAACCACAAAAAGATAGCTGAAGATACCTCAGATCTGTCAACTTGGGAAGCATTTCCATAAGCCCACTCTCGCCAATTCCATAACAGTATGAAAAGTCAAGCTCGGTGAGACTGGCCTTACTCCAATCCGTTTTCATAATGTTGCTATTTTGCAATCTCGTGCAACTCATTAGTAAAGTTTGAAGGTTTCTGCATTCGGCAAATAGACGCGGGAAAGTGGACCCCTTGACGTAAATACATCCAGTGAGACACAGTGATTCTAGTTTGGGACAAGAACCTGCCAGGGTGTCTATATTAGAATCTGTTAAGGAGGGGCAATTCTGGAAATGAACTATCCGCAGATTGCGCAGCGAAATAAAAACTCTTTCCAGCTCTCCCGATGAATTAATATTTGCCAATCCAAGACTTTGAATATTCCTAAAGAGATGGATGTGTTCTATGAAAACGTTAGAACAAAGGCCTTCAAGAAAGCGAACGTCCAGGTTTTCAAGGGTTTTAAAAGAATTCCAGCAAAGGCGAAAGTTATAAACCAAGTCTGTAAAATATGCCCCCTGAAGACTGAAAGAGAAAAAAAAAAACCAACTGAAACGAAATATTTTCTTAATTGCATCTTATAAAGATATCTATATCTAGTTCATCTACTATTTCCCATAGATATCTATGAGGTTTTAATTTAGCGAAATTTAATTGAATATTTAATGTAACAGAGTAAGAAAATGCAGAAAGTAAATCGTTGTTGTGGTTTTTGTCGTCGATCGGCTGATTTGCTTTCCCTTATTGGACTGATCAGTTATTCTTAAGAACCAATCTTTATAACATCACCAGCTAGTGACAACGCGTTTTATGGCTATCGGTTAACCCTATTGAAGCCCTCCTACTACGAAAACCAAAACACGCAGCAAAGAGATTTACCTGAGGGTTTTTAACTTGACACATTTCTCTGCCAAAGTAGTTATAAAAGCAACTGAAAGACCGCATCCACTGATGTTCATCACAGAAACAAAGGGAGATATCTTTTCGATCAATGATATTATGCTTTCTTTCCAAAGACTTAGGCCACGTAAATCCACATGTTGCCAGAGCGAATAGTCCAAAGCAATTCTGTGCCAATTTTTACACACCATTCCTACGCGCCCTAGATCTTTAGAAGCAAGGTGATGAAATATGTTCAGCAAAACGGACTCTGGGAGTTTTTCGACCAGATTGGTTGCCATTTTAGCCCACAATGTTTCTTGTGAACTCGGTGAGGTGAGCAAATAGAATTGTCCACTTGCGCGCGGCAATTAGAAACAAGCTCGCTAACTACTGTGAAGTCAACAAAGGTTTAATTCGGCACGAGCCAGGATATTGTAGAGCAAATCAGTTGCTTTCAAGGTTAAGTTTGGCATGTTCTTTTCCTTTCCGGAAGATGGCGGACTTGGAACCGATGGATGTAAGAATATTAAATTCTTTTTATCAGTTTTTCTCGATTTTTCAATCGATTTTCTTATTTTAAGAAAACGAAGTCGCCTTTGTCAACACTCACAATTCAATTGTGAGCGTCAGCAAAAGCGTTTTATTCGTTTGTTAAGTCATGCACTGGACTTCAGAAAGAGATGCCATCGTTTGAATCACATCGAAAGCACATAGTCAACTAACGATCTTTGCTCAGTTTGCTCGTTATAGTTTTGTCTTCTTTGAAGGACTTTTATTCTTCACACTCATTGCGGGCCTGTTCTTAGCGTTTTGGACAAAGTTATGGTAACTAGGCTCCCTACCCTCAAATGCGTAAAAGGAAAACTTATCTAGGGTAGTGTGGGCGGGCTTTGAAACGGCTCCATGAGCCTCCGCGCACCTTGCTATGGCCTCTTTGCCATTTTCTTTGCTGCTCGTCTTATAGAGTGAGGTGAGCGAGTTGCATCTTAGCATATTTCCTTTCATTTCAAGACATCAGTAGATCAAAATATGTCTATTTACTACCGTATTTCTTGAAAATTGCTTTGGTATAAATATTTTTAATGGAACTCTTTGTTGTAATGTAAAACGACGCGAATGATCCGGGGCTCTGAATTACAGCGAAATCCAGTATACATGAAAAGAACTCGAGTGGATTTAGAAATTACACTGCTTAACACTGAATCCTTTTTATTGATCGAAGGAGATAAGAAGGACGCTTCTCCTGGTCCAATCATCGGGATAAATTGAAGGGCGTTTTGTTGTTTTCCCAACGTGTCTAGAGCGATGTCGATAGCTTCCACATGACACAGTCACTCACTCGAAGCTAGTGCCATCTTCAAGTATATATTTTTTCTAAAATTTTGTGTTCGTTCGGCTAGTTCTGCGGGGTTTTTTTGCGCTCTGCCAGCATTATATTGTACGCTTTCTTTGCAAATTATTTCGGCAGCTCACAAGCAAGCGTTTAATGGTATCTTGAAGAAGTTGATACGATCAGTTTTTTTAAATAAACCTGAACGTTTCATTTTGTTTTATTATTTTTCTCAGCCAAGATGGTTATGCCAGCAAATAAACCTCGCATTATTAAAAAGAGGAAGAAGAGATTCATCAGACATCAGTCTGATCGATTTCTCAGAGTTAAGGTTTGTATTATTTCACTTGTTTTAGCCCCTCACATCTCAACCGAATGGCAACCACTTCCTTCATTCTCATGGTTTATAAATGAAAATGAATGATTCAGCAGCATAACTTTAAAGAGGAATTAGATGCTGGTCACTCTAAGAGTCCAAGGGGTTGAGAAACCTTTCTTTTCAATGTATGATTTACATTAGCTAGAATAGAGACTATGCTGGGTATTGAGGGTAATTTTGATACAAACATTGTGCAATAATTCCATAAGGCAAATACAGACATGATGTCTTGCAACTTATTGTTTTAGATTTACCTTCCCATTAAAAGCACCACACTCTGAACTTAAACCATAGCCTATTGCTACTGGCTTAGTAATGAAAGTGGTGGTCGTCCAAGGGAAGGAGAAAAACTCATTTTGTTTGGGTGAGGTGCATATAGGACCTCTTTCTTAATGTTCTATGGTATGAATCTCAATCCAAAATGTACATTTGCTGCATGCAACAAAATGCCTGCATTTTATTTATGTGGAAAATTTCTAGTTGGTAGAGGAATTATTACTATGAAACTCAAAACACAGTCAGCACTTTGATTTGATTCTGACTGGTCTGTGGTGTACTGACCAATCTGATGTCCATGTAGTTCATTATACACAAAAAAATCCAAAACTACAGTTGGATCACCACTTCTGTCATTGGCAGTTTATTTTTCTGAAGACCAGTTGGTTTCCTTCAAAACACTCAAACTCTTGACGGTTATTTCTGTTCACAGATTTTTTGTGTTTCACCTATTCTTTGAAACTGAAACCTCACTGTTTCTCTACTTTTAATTTGCAATTAAGTGAGACTGTCAGTGTCTTTTTGCATTCCTTTCTACTAGAAATCTAATGATACTAAGTGAATGCTACAAATTTTGCTTTTGCTTTCAGCCAAGCTGGCGTAAGCCAAAGGGTATTGACAACAGAGTGCGCAGAAGGTTCAAAGGCCAATATTTAATGCCAAGTATTGGCTATGGCAGCAACAAGAAAACTAGACATCTCATGCCAGATGGCTTCAAAAAATTTGTCATTCACAATGTCCAGGTGAGAACTGAAATTTATATTAAGGAATTTAGTGGGAAGAGAACAATATAAAATAACCAGAGAACATTCACCACATCTGAATTAAAAAAGGCCTTAAACAAAGACACAAAAAATAGGCCAGCCATCAAAATTTTGCATGGTTTGCATGAAATTTTCTGATCTCCCATGTTCAATGAACAGTTAGAACATTGAGTTTTTTCCTTTGCTTTCCTATCCTCAATATCACTTCTCTGCACTGTCTGCCACACATTTTTTGAAAAATTTTTACCTGAAAATTTGGTATATTTTTCTTTTCATTTTTATTACATGTGTAGGTGTGTACTGATATTATAAAGAGAAATTTCTGTTTGGTTTCTTGTCGGAGATTGAAAGGGGTCAACATAGATTGACGATTTTGACAGATGTTCTAACTGCATTTAGTTTATGGCAATCATATGCCTACTTTTTCCAAGTGTATGTAAAAATAGTGAATTCATGGATTAAGCTTATGAATACTTCCCAAAAGGCTATGTTTTACAATACATTCTTCCACTGTTTCTTAGTTTTTAGTTTGCTTGAAATAGATGTCTCTAGTAGTGGTGTAAGCACACGTAGAATGTTCAGTTCTATGTGTACATTTATGTATACTGATCATTCAGCCAGCTTTGTCAGCAACTGGTGCATTTCATGGTCTACTCTGAAAAACACTCTGGCTATTCTGAATGTTTATAGCTCAGATTTTAGCATGGAGGCATGAAATTTTGCTACCTAATTTCTATCACAAACCAGTTACCCAAAATTTTCTAGAAACATAAGGATTCAATTAAACTGTTATGGCTGTGACATCAGTTTAACACCAAGCTATGAGTATTACAAAAACCCTTCCTTTAAAAAGCACCTCACTTGGAACTAAAACCATGATCACTTCAGATTTCATGGCCTAGCCATTGATCTGTTGTGATCACTGGAGTAGTTAGGACAGTGATGGTTGTCAAAGGAAGGAGAGAGAGGCAATGTTAATGGGTGAGACAGGAGAGGACCTCTTTCTTAATGTCCACTGTTCTTGGTTCTCAATCCACATTGCAACACTACTTACAATAATCATTTCTAATCTACATTTTTTGTTGGTGAGTAGAGGGCTGATTACATGAATTTTTGGGCTGGTTGAAGTGGATTTAATTCATTAACAAGTGCAACCCTTGTCAAACTGTTCCTAGTTTTTGTAAGCTAAAATTGGAAATGTTAAAAAAAAAATACCTGAAATATTTCCCAGATCAACACCTTAAAGCACTATTCAAACTAATGTAATCAGCTCCTACTCTGAAAATACATTTGTGATCCTCCATGGGAAAACAGACACTAATGCTAAACGGACACTAAACTGTTTAAACGCTTGAGTTAGCTGTTTACTATCCGTTTACAACCGTTTTTCTAGACTGTTTAACGGAAAAGCGTTAGTGTCCATTTTCCCATGGAGGGTCACATTTATTTAGTTTATCAAGATGTAATCATTGAATACAGGATGCTTGTTGCACTTAAACCCAGCTAACTTCTCATTGACCAGTATACACAGAGTAGCTCAGTGGTTGAGGATCACACTGTAAAAAAATGTTAAGATTTGGGTCTTCTCTTCATGGTGGGACTCAGATTTGTTTTTTCCTTTGTTCTTCATTAGTTATTAGCAAACAGCAGTCATCTTAGACTTTCTCTGCCATTCCTTTTATTTTGTTTTCTTATGTTTTTGTTTATTTATATTTATTGTTTTCATTTCATCAGGAACTAGAAGTCCTCCTGATGGCCAATAAGAGCTATGCAGCAGAGATTGCACACAATGTGTCCAGTAAGAAGAGGAAAGAAATAGTGGAGCGTGCACAACAGCTGGCCATTAAAATAACAAATGCCAATGCAAGACTGCGCAGTGAAGAGAATGAGTAGATACTTAGGCATGGAGAACTGTACCAACTTGTGTAGAAATAAAGACATTGTTTGGATGTATTTGGCTGTTTTTTTTACTAACAAAGAATGTGAGACATGTTGGTTTTTTGGGGTAATGTACTGGACTGGTGATCAAGAGGTCCACCGGTTTTGAATTGTGGGTGAGTCCCTTTGTTGTAATCTTGTGCCAGTCACTGTATTCTGCAGTGCTTCTCTGTGCTTGTTTTATAAATGCGTTTTAGAAAACTGTTCAGGAAACTTTGCAAATTGCTAGAGACCATCACCCTAACCCCTAAGAGTGACCAGCATCTAATTTCTCCTTACAATATCATCCCTAAATCACAAATTAGAGTCATGAGTAAAATGAAAATGATTAACGACTACAGAAGCTCTGAATCGTTAAGCTAATTCTCCCTGACAGGACCTTAGGAAATGTATAAAGAACAGTATGGAGAATATGCATACTGATGTTAGGGTGTAAAGGGTTAAACCCAAAGATCTGACTAATAATTCTCCCATTCTGCCACACACGTTTCCATGTAAATTACTGACAAGAATGTACTGTGAGAGTGAGATAACCTCTACCTGGTAAGTTTGAGTGTTCTCATTACGTGTTAGCTGGATAATAGTGGACATCATAGGGAGGAGTTTAATGTTGATCTCTTCTAGGAGCTAAACAGTTTAAGTACCAGGATTCCATCTCGGAAGAACGGTAGCCTATTCATACCCTTGGTCAGTGGAGATGAACATTGGAATATTAAAAACGGCATATGCAGCTCTTTCCCTGACAAATGCTGTTTTTCATGCTCGCTTTCTTGCTTTTCTCCATTGACTGAGAGCCTAACACAGGTGTGAAGAATACCAGTACAGCCATTTCTGCACCCTACACAAATAAGGCTAAGTCCTAGCAGTAATTGGGCAGTTTGCAAGGTTTCTCGTGACCCGTGATCAAGTATATCTTTCACAGAAGGGCAGGATATAAACGCAAATCAAGCTATAACTACATTCAGTTGGACAATCACACCACATGAACCCCAGGTAGTCCGTTGTGCAAATTTGGTGTTAGTTTGAATTTTCGAATTTTTGCTTTTGTCTTCCATAATCTCTTCGAAAAGATGTTGGAGATCTTGTTCAGTCCCTTCCTAGTTAGTGCGTCGATATGAAACGAAAATTTTCCTGATTAAGATTCTCGGCAACGTTCTTCCACAGGTCACGTGACTAACAAGTCCCAGTTTCTGCTCTGATTATTACTGCTTTGTTTGTTTTCCAAAATATGAAGACTTCCGCCAAGGTTTGAAATCTTCTATCCACCTGTTGAAATTTCTCGGCCAAATATGCGCATCTGAATGTCAAAGATTACTCTTATTGTGTAATTGAGGGATCTGGCGTAATGTCGGCTGGTAAGCATTGTAGCCCTCTGGGCAAGATGGCGAAAATCAAAAACTATCTTTACCTTGGAGGGCTAGCTGCGGCGAAAATGGAAGATTTGCTCAAGGAAAATGGAATAACTTGCGTCATCAGCGGTAGGAATGGACCAAATACGAATTTATTCGAGCTTAATACCGGATTTATTTCATGAGGGTATTGCACCTTGCGCTGGATATGGCCCACAACTTAACTGATCCTGCACATGTTTACTTATATCATGTCTTCTATTATCCATTATTTTAAGCTGCACTGGAATCGCCTGAATTGGCGTATGAATCGATAACTTGCATAAGGATAAAGTTGGAAGATAACCCGACCTGTAACATCGGAATATATTTTGATCTAGTGGCCGATAAAATTGGTGAGTTAAATCAATGCTTAAATTCCATGCTTATCCTCTCGCTCTAAGTTGTGATGTACACTCTTTTTTATCAGAACGTCTAATTTGGGGCTTAGACTGCACGTTCTTCGTCTTCTTCTTCTTTTTTTTTTCTTGGCGACTTGAGCGAGAAAACGTTCTCAACCTATTCTTAAAGTTGTGTGGTACATAACGTATTTCAATAAATCGACGGATTTGTTCTTCAATGTACCGTGCAATAAGAAAACAACATTGTTAATTAATATAGAGCAAAATGTCCCTAAGTATTTGAGTTAATGGTCCTGTTAGATCACAGATTTACGTTTCGTTTACATTTATGTATACTTCTCGCAAAAAAAAAAGAGAATGGGCAAATAAATACCTTCTTAACCCTTTAATTCCCAAGATCTGATTGTTAATTCTCCCCTGTAGCTGCTAGACATTTCCTTGTAAATTAGTTGTGAAAACTTGGTGCTTGATCAAGATAGTAGCTTCTATCTGATAAGTTTGAATATTCTCATTACCTTTTTGCTGAATAATGTATGGATATTACAGGAAGAAGTTTCATTTTAATCACTTCTGGGAGTTAAAGGGGTAACTGAATCTCAGCCTGGGTGTGTTTATAAAAAAAGTTTTTTTTTTAAAAAAAAATATTGTACATGTTCCTTTTGCCCGACATGTTTTTTATAGCTGGAAAAGGTTTGTTGACAGTAATTTTATGTTCTTCAACTTTTCTCATGTTGTAGAAAAGGTTCAACGAGAAGGAGGAAAGGTACTCGTCCACTGCATTGCAGGAGTAAGCAGGTGAATTTCTTTTTCAAGTATCATTTGGAATCTCGAAGGCTTAAGTTTTAAGGCAGGTGAGAGCAAACATTGTTTCGCTCTGACAAAGGTCTAACGCTCAAAAGTGTCAGCTTTGAAACTCTTTACTGAGGCCAATTCACATATACAACTCAGTTGATGACACTAAATTATCTTGTTGCATGATTGGTCATAAGAGACTTCTTACCCCATCTTGAGCCCAAAAAATGTGTTAAAAAAAAAAAAAATAACAAAAGATCAATGTACATGTACGGGAAGGAAAGGCAACCTAATCCATGCTGAATGATACAGTATTATTATAATTATTATTATTGTTATTATTTTTATTAATTATCATTATTATTATTATCATAAATTTGTATCATTAATGAGGTGACTTCAGATATGCAATAGATTACATGTAGCCAGGTGAAAGGGTGTGGTATGCACATTATCTAGTAGTAGCCAACATTTCTTTATCCTCGTTATTGTTAGTACATAAGATGGTAAACCATATTAAACAATATTTTCTAGTTCATAAACAAGCATGTATTTTACAGATCAGCAACTTTGGTCTTGGCTTACTTGATGAAATATCAAAAGATGAAGCTGATTGATGCTCATGCATATGTCAAGCAAAAGAGACCTCTTGTCAGACCAAATGCTGGATTCTGGAAATATCTAGTTGAGTATGAGAAGAAGCTGTTTCAGAAGAACTCTATCAGTATGGTGGAATCCAAATTTGGTGTGTATAGTTTATACTAGATTTATACCATAAGGCTAATCTACACATGTTTTTTACAGCTATTTGGAACTCTAGGTGACAGGGGTGACTTGATAATTGATCACACATATTTCCTCCAATAGCTTTTCCCATTGACCCCATGAATTGACAGCCTCTGTCAAAAGTTGCTAGTCAAAGGGTTTGCCAGATTCTGGTATACTGGAACAACCTTTAAAAAGATTTTACAGACATTCTTTATGCAACCCAACCCAAAACTACCCCGGCTTGTATTTTCACTCATCTGCTACTAACACACTTCATTTTTCATTAAATTAATCTTCATTAATTTACAAGATGAATACATCTTTCTTTTTTCTCTTTAGCATATGAATAAAATTAATTAAAACATGATTGGGAAGTGATTACTAATGAATTAATTTTCTTTGAATGACTGGCTTCAATTTGAAGCTCTGACTCTTTCTGACTTCAGTTGTTTTTAATCATTACCTCACAGTTCACTTTGTATAGTTTAACCCTATGTATGCACATACTGTTAGTGACAAATTTGGTTGACATTTTTTCTAACTATTACAACAGTCACAGCAGCTTTGCCTATCTATTAGTTGCTTTGTAGCACTTCCTTTATTAACACTGACAATTTAGCAGATTTAATTTTTCAAGTATAAGTGAAAAATTTACAAAATGATGGTAGAAGCTCAACAAATGTTACAACTAACCAAGAAACTAGAAAAACGTAATAATATTACCCATTATATCCCAAGACATGATTGTCAATTCTCCTCTCTAGCTGCTACACATTTCCTTGTAAATTAGGTACGAGAATGTGGTGTTAGATCAAGATAAAAACTTCCACCTGATAAATTTGGGTATTCTCATTACCTATTTGCTGGATAATGTTTAAATACTTTAGGGGAAGTTACTTGCTAATTATTGCTGGGAGGTAAAATGTTAATCTTAAATTTTGGGTGTTCTAATTCAAACCTAAATACTTTGTTGCTGCATAAGTAAGTTCTACTTGTCAATTTCAAACAAGTTTCTGTCGAAGGAATTATTACGTTATGAATTATTTCAACCTTAATGATATGGTGACATTTTCTTCATCAGGTTTGATACCCAATATCTATAAAGATGAAACAAACAACTTGGTTTGGTGACAAATTTAGAAGATGATTTTAAAAGCTTGCAAGGAACAGAAGGGCAGATGATTAGGGTGTTTCATATTGATTTTGTTCAGAATTAACCTGGTACCCTTATCTAATTAGAGAGGCCATACATGTACTTTTGTGTTTTAATTTTTATTTCTCAATTGTTGATTTGGAGTTGTTTACACTCTCAAGGTTTGCTAGAAAACTATACCTGTGTTTAGATTGCAATGGTCAAATCTGTACAGTTTCCTGGATTTGAAACAGTAAATTACTTAACAGTTCAAAAGC